ATTTGTTTTTACAAAAGTTGCATGTTACCACTTTTTTCACTTTACAAAGCGCAGGCTATTTTAATTATTGTGATCAATTTGTGCCGTCAATCCCGGCGCATGCGCGCTTCATTTGAAGTCTGGACGCTGAAGGTAACATCCTGCTGCTCTGACTGCAGCGCTGAGAGGGACTCCTGCGCGAGCGTGAGAACTGGGTTGGGATGGGGGAGGCGCCCCACGGCAGCAGCTGCCGACGGCGGCGGATGACGCATTAATCGCGCGACACAACTAATCGATGATGAAATTCGTTGCCAACGCTTTTAAAAGTCGATTTTTATCGATTCGTTGTTGCAGCCCTAATTATCTCATACTAAATTAAGCATTTATTACATCCTATTGGGCTCCTATGGATTAAATGATATCACGCATGCTGTCCCTGAGCTCCAAGGAACTTAGAGCAGAGCAAGAAAGGCATGAAGGCTGTTGGCATTTCTTTGTGGAGGCAGTCTGGAGTAGGACGGCATGGTTATGGAGGATGTGGGATTGAGTATGTTTGGACAAATCATGCATGTTGATTGGATGGTCCAAGCAATGTGGGAATACTATTATTTACAAGATCTTTTTTAATCTTATGAGCTTAGAAATAAATCAGAGGGTTAAAATGGCTTGAATGGGAGACCTCTGTCATTGTTGTCGTTTTAAGAGCACCTTCTGTATGTTGGGGTCTGTACTCATTGTTATAGTATTAATGATTAAAAGCAAATTCTTATTCTTTTTCAATTTTTTTAACCTTTAAAAGGTCCAACCGGTCACTACTTGATCCGTACCATCAGCTCATTTGCATATGCGCATCCAGAAATGCATCCGAGTCGCCCTCCATTTTACTTTATAGAAAATAACTAAATATTAATTTCTCTCCCTAAAATGAATTGCTGTACTAAACTTCAATGTTTAAAAGGTTAATAATTTAATTTCAGAGCAAATAAATGGGTTTCTGTTTTATCACTTGTCTGTGCCCGACCTGTCCTCTAAAGGGGATAATATGCTACTTTCCATGGCAAATTTTTTCAGTTTTGGATTTATACAATGTCTTCCTTTTTGAGTTTTATGCGTGTCTTTCGTTTTGCCATTATGGGTATACAATGCATAATCTAAAGAAAGACGGAACTAAAATTCATATAAAAACGGTGAAATAATATTTTGCCGGACCGCTCTGAGCATGTCCGACGATGACGATAGATGAGCTGTTTAACTTGGATAGAATACAAGGCATCCAATTCTCTCAGAAAAGTCGTTCAATGTTTTTACCTCCAAAGCAAAAAAAACTAAAAACAAAAAAGTGCTCGGCTATGAATTTGTTTACCAATCAGGAAAAGATTAAATTTGTTGCCTTCTGATTTTTAACTGTAAATTACAATCAAGCCAAAATAGACATATACATTTTTTGGTTGATGTCTATGGGCATCTCCAAACTACATTTATTTATTTATTTGATTATTTCCATTTCTTTAGTAATTTATAGCACTTTTTCCTGTTAATAAAGCTTGTCTGTTCCAACAGTAAAGTGATGAGCATGATAGTTACTTTAGTGGATTTTGATACTTTAACTGTTATTTCACTTTTAAAGAAACTGTTTAAAGGACTTTTGATGTTAAGCTAACTCACAAACAGCATCCATAATGAGCACAGCTTATTTCTCATAACATCAAATTATAGTTTGCTACTTACACCTTTCTAACTATATTTTGTGCCATCTTGGATAAGTCACCTGCTTTAGACCAGTATGGTTATACAAATAGATGTCTTTATCATAGGTTCTTATTTATAATTTTTTTTCTTTTTGTATTTTAGGCCGGAGTTCTCAGTGTTTGTGGGAGACCTGGCCTCTGAAGTGGATGACTTTCAGCTGCATCAAGTCTTTAAGAAGTACCCTTCCTGCAAAGGAGCCAAAGTAGTCACCGACCAATACGGCTATTCAAAGTATGTTAGCCACTCTGGATGGTAGAAGTTAAAACTATGATTTGTTACTTGATTTTGTGTGTTTTTTTGTGCTTTATTATTAAACTTCGTTATTCAGATAGCAGATTTGGACGTTGACCACCAGTGCATCTTCATCTGTTTTCGAAAAAGGCTGAAGAAATGTTTTCTTGCCGTCTTATGCTAAAACTATTGTTTTCCCCATATAGGCTAAGCAAGAGCAACTCACAATTCAAGTGATGCTACCTCATGTTAAAAGTAAAACAGCAAGTTTCAGTTCTACCATAATAATACCCATTATATTCTGTTTCTCATAAGTGGCTAATACATGGCAAGTATGTGGCATGAACTGGTGGGCAGTGGAGGCGTAACTTTGATTTGATTTTTCAGGGGCTACGGCTTCGTCAAGTTTGGTGACGAGAACGAGCAGAAGGCAGCGATAGAGGAGTGCCAGGGAACGGTGCTGGGGGGGAAATCCCTGAGGCTCAGTATTGCTGTAGCTAAAAGGTAAGACAAGAACTTATATATCAAGTGAAAGGAAAAAGCAAAGCAGAAATCAGCAGAAAATGAAGCTTTAAAGAATTTTCACAGTCTCCAAAATAATCAAAAGCGTTGAAAAATATTTGCTCTTTATTCCATCTCTCATATTCCAAAAGTTGTCTTTCCTTCTTTGTGTCCTATTTCATTTGTCGTTCATCAGTCCCCAAAGTCTCTGATAACACAGGAAAAAAAGGACGTTTATCGTTTGAAAGCTGTGACAAAATGTCACATTTGTTAGTGGTTTAACTAACAGTTTGATGCCTTCTGTAATTTTTAAGATTTTACAGAATATTGTTTACAGGTTTAGACAAACAATGGGTTAAATCGCCTTCCTTTATAAAGTTTGCTGTCAGCATTTATATGACTCGTATGTTTGTTGTTTTTACAGCCAAAAGACAAACTACCAAGCAGGTTCCACCCAGAGTTACAGCAGCTACAACCCGACACAGTCTGGATACTATGGCAGCCATGCGGCTGGTGCTCAGGGGGGGTACTATCCTCAGTGGGGCGGCTATGACCAGTACGGTGGATACAGCACTGGTTACGGCGGCTACAACAGCGGATATAACAGCGGCTACAATAGCAACTACAATAGTGGTTATAACTATAACTACGGGGCATATGGATACCCTCCCCCAGGTCACATGATGCCAACTCCTCCTATGGGGATGCCGTCCATGTCTGCTGACATGTCTGGAACTGGAGAGGTAAAGGAATTACTGTTAAAAGCTATTAGGATACATCTTTATCGATATATGCTGCTTGTAATACAGAGAGATGGATATTGGGCTGGAGCTTAAGCAATGCAGTTTTAGATCTAGGATCTAATCTATTTGTAGGATCTAGCAGTCAATGTTTTCTATTCAACAGGAAGTTTTTACTGGCTGCACAACGCCCTAGGCTGATTTAAAAAAAAAAAAAGACTAATGGAAGGCTAACAAGGCATAGTGCATTTCAAAGATTGTGTTTTGTGCTTAAACCTATTTTTGTGCTTTTATTGTACTGTATCTTAAATGTTGTGTCTTTGTCAAGCAGGAGCAGGCGGAAAACCCTGATGATGATAACTTAGAAGGTAAAGCATTGCCTCCAGAAACTATTTAAATTATAACCTTTTGTATTAAACTAATTTGCATATCGGAACTTAGTTTTCCATTTTAACATATGGTTTGATCTCGGCTTTTTTTCCCAGAGCCCATCCCTGAATGTGACGTTGAGAGGTGGAATAAAGACTTCATGCAGCACAGTGAGGAGCTTTATGATGCTTTGATGAGCTGTCACTGGGAACCTTTGGACTCTGTTGACTCTCCAATCCCCGCATTATCCTGATATCTCTTTCATCAACATCCACCTATGTTTTCTTTTTAGAGACTTATGGGTTTTTTTTTTTTATGTACTTCCAAAACCTGTCACCATAGACACATCTTTAGATAATGCCAGCCAGAGCTCTGTTTTATCAAGAACGGCTTGTTGAAGGTTTTGCAAACTTCTCGTTCAGCTTTTTGATTTCAGGTTAGTGAACAAGTACATGAACTGTGGAGATCAGACTGTTTCTGTACAGGAGCTGGAGCTGACTTCGACACAGAGGCTGCTAAGTTAAACCGAAGGTTGTGGTAGCATTTCATCTCTTAAAATTTGTCACTAAGGAACAGGTGGCATGCTCTGGTGATTAAACAGTTTTCAGTTTAATATCTCTTCATCATCGTGCAGAAAATCAGTTCCATTTTTATTGAAGGAGTTTTACATTTCTCTCTTGGTAGGAATTTTATTCAGATATAAGCTGGATCGCGAGGGGAAAATGTTTGTATGTTTTCGGTATGAGAGGCTCAATGAGAAACGGATGAAAGTTGCATACCTGAGATGTATAAATAAAGGCAACTGTAAGGTTTTTGTGAAAAACAAGCTAAACTTATGATAGCCTTTATTTTATGCTGTGTAGTGGAAAATATTTTGTATATATATTGTCTGAAGATGTTTTTTATGAATAAACTATAAAAAAAAAATGGCATGGTTACTGTGCTAATGAAAACTTGTATTTTTTTTATGGTATGTGTTTAGGTGTAGGCAGTATGACAGTATAGGGGTGGGGGGGATGCACCCCTATCCATACAAGGCTTGATGTCAGGTGTTGTTATTAGAACACCTGACATTATTAGAAGGTTATGTCAAGATGAGTTTACAACCTGGGACAAATTAAGATTAAGATTTCTACCCTCATCAAGACAAACTTTACAGTTTAGGCTATTTAGTGGGGTGTAAATGTTCCAATTATACAAATGTTTTGTTTGAATGACTCGTTGGCTAATAATGCAAAGTCTGTCATGATTTAGTTAAAAATTAGTAAGCCTGACCACAGTAGTATACACCATTTTAATACAATTAACATCCATGTCAGCTCTTAGAAACTTCTATACATCATTTATTCCTGTGCTTCATTTTTTAAAGGTTATTACGGTAGATTTTAAAAAAAAAAAAGAAGTAAAGCATGTATCAATCTTCTGTTGGTTTTAATACCAAATTCCTGCTAAAATAACTTCACTTTGTTTTAAGTTTGCTGTGCAGACTCTTTAATGCAACTTTACACATATGGAGGGAAGGTGTGAATATTGGCCACCACTTTTTGAAGATTTAATGACTTTAAAGCTCAAAGTTTTGATGTTTTGCTCAGTTAATTGTAGTGGTTGTGGTTTAGTGCATCTTCTTCCTCAGTGTTTCTGGTCTTGATGTTAAGCAGTCCTTGCCCAGGTCTTCCTGGGCAGTACCAGCTGGGCCCCATGCGATACCAGCCCTGATACAATCCCCTCCAGCTCAGACAGCCTAGAGCACCTCCAAGCAGCTGAGTGGGGAATTGAGGAAAATAAGCCAAGAGACAGAGCAGCAAAAAGATCCACAGTCCAAGAAGGAGAACACAGAACAAAAAGAGGATCCTCAGTGGAGCATCCGAGATGCCACCGAGGCTTAGATAAGGACCAAACACAGCCGTTTCCTCTGCTAGCAGCAGGCAGCACAGACAGAGAAGAAAGACATCCTCTGAAACCTCATAACCTCTCCAAACCATCCCAGCTTTCAGGCACTCAAACTTGCTCTCTCCTTCTTTGAGTACAAGCATAGGCTGCCCGTCTGTGACCTCTGGACCTGCAGGTAAAGGTTCATAGCAGCTTCCTGTAGTGTTCTCTAGAAGGTCAAGTAGTTTGCAGAAACAAAGCCACAGTCCTCCGGCCACCGCAAGCCTGCTGAGGTGACGGAAGGAGAGTAAAAGAGAACGACGGATGGAGTAGGAGAGGAGAAAGATGAAGGAGCCAACAAAGACGCATGTCCAGCCCCAACCAGAGCGCAGGAACAACCTGGAAGAAGCAGAGGGAAAGGAGAGATCAAAGAAGGTAAAGATGCCATCTTTAGGACTGTTAATTTTGGACTTTTTTTTTATCTTTAGCTTTAGGGCAACAACTGATATATGCATTTATATTTAGAAATATCTCAAACTAACAACACCAAAACTGCAGTTGATATTGATGTTTTACTAACATTTTTAAAATTAAGACTTGGTAGTAAAAAAAAAATGCAGATACAAGTTAAAATACACTGCTCAAAAAAATAAAGGGAAACAACGCATAACTTCCATCACATCAAACTTCTGTAAAATCAAACTCCACTTAAGAGGAACTGATTGACAATCAAATTCACGTGCTGTTGTGCAAATGGAATAGACAAGTGGATTGTATTATTGGCAATTAGCAAAGCACACTCAATAAAGTAGTGTTTCTGCAGTTGGGGAACACAGAGCACTTCTCAGTATCCATCCTTCCTGGCTGATGTTTTGGTCACTTTTGCATGTTGGTGGTGCTTTCGCAGTCATGGTAGCATAAGATAGACTCTATGACCCACCCTAGTGGCTCAGGTAGTGCAGGTCATCCAGGATGGTATGGCAATGCAAGCTGTGGCAAGAAGGTTTGCTATGTCTGTTAGCCAAGTGTCCGGAGGCTGGATGCACTACTAGGAGACAGGTCAGTATATCAGGAGACGTGGAGGAGGCCGTAGTAGGGCAACAATCCAGTAGCAGGGCCACTACCTCAGCCTTTGTGCAAGGAGTTACAGGAGGAGCACAGCCAGAGCCCTGCAAAATTACCTCTGGCAGGCCCCAATGTGTCTGCACAATCCGTTAGAAGGAAAGGTGTGAGGGCCTGACATCCACAGATGAGGGTTGTGCTCACAGCTAAACACTGTGCAGGATGCTAGGCTTTTGCCAGAAAACACCAACATTGACAAATTCCCCACTGCCCGCCTGTGCTCTTACCAGATGAAGGCAGGTTCACACCAAGCGACAGACGTGACAGAGTCTGGAGACTCCGTGGAGAGCAATCTGCGGCTTGCAACATCCTTCAACATTTGGCAGTGGGTCAGTAATAGTGTGGGGTAGCATTTTTATTTGGATGGCAATGAGGACAATGCTAGACCTCATGTGGCTGGAGTGTATCAGCAGTTGCTGCAAGATGAAGATATTGAAGGGACTGCACCCCCTACAAATAAGGAATAGTTGTATTAACTATACATGTAAACAGTTTTATTGGGGCCCCAGGACCTTGGGGCCCTAGGCAACTGTCTGGTATTGCCTAATGGTAAATCCCCCTTTGAGTTCAGGTCTAGGAGGAGATCCCAGTAGACCATCTGCCACATCATCAGGAGCATGCCCAGGCGTAGGGAGGTCATACAGGCACATCGGGGCCACACACACACTACTGAGCCTCATTTTCACCTGTTTTAAGGACATTACATCAAAGCTGGATCAGCCTGTATTTGAGTGTTCCCTTTATTTCTTTTGAACAGTGTTTATTGGCAAATAAATCAGAAAAATGTAGATGTTAGTCTCTGAACTTTGAAGAACACCATATGATAATGTTGGACCTTTAGATCAGGCTATAGTTGAAAACAGGAAGGAACAGAATTGACTTTTAATGCTGTAAAGAATCTTTATTTTAGTGCCAAGATGAAGATGAGAAACAGCAGACCAAACATTGCAGACGTGCAAAGCAATTTCAGCCAACAATACATACAGAACCACAGGCTGATTACCTCAATGTAACATTCAGAAATGCAGTAATTCCTGAAATAGGAGGCCTAACCAACAAAACCTTGTTTTTTAATTATATTTAATTATATTTTTTAATATATTATAATTATATGTTTTAGCTAGAGTTTTGGATTTTTATAATCTAAAACCTGCAATAGTTGAACTTAAATAAAACAAAGACTTGAAATAAGTCTTACAAAATATATGTTTCACTTTCTGAAATTAGAGACAAAAAAGTTTGAACTTCCCACATTATTTTATCTTCAAATGCAAGGTATTTTGCTAAACCATCAGGAGCAGATTATAACGAAGGCACCTTGCAAAAACCCTCTGACCCCTCTGGGTTTCACATTTTAGTGAATACAAATGAATAATTCAGATTAGAACCACATAAAAACCTATGTTCAAAATGCCATGGGGGAAGATAAACCTCAACAATGTAGCATGGTGTTGGCAGCATTATACAGTGAAGATGGTCAGAGGTGGTGTAAAGATGGATGGAGATAAATACTGGAAAATCCTGGTAGAAAATATTGCTAGAGGCTCTAAAACCCCTGGGAGTGGAAGTTTAACACTACTACATTTTCCCCATGTCTAAAGTTGGTCCTTAAGCGCTTTCCTGCAGGTTTTGGTGGTTTCCCTGCTTCAGCACAGCTGATTTCCATTGATAGCTGATTAACAGGCTTTTGCTGTCCTACATTGACCCGAATCAGCTGTGCTGAAGCTGAGTAATATCAAAAATTTGCAGGATATTCCCACCCAAATCATACAACAAGGGCTCTAATTAAATTATGTAGATCAGCTAGTAGACATCCCAAATAGCTTACCGGTTTAACTATAGCTACAGGATGTGCCATTTTCTATTGGTCTGTCTATCTATATGGGAAAGAGCAAAAAGATTTAAATGTGTTTCTCCTTCATTAGTCACATGTTATGACAAGTTAGACACGTGACAAAAACGACATGTTAAAGGCGCCTCTGGACATAAAAGAAAGTGAATCTGATATTTTTCTTTGTCATGCATCATGACAAACATCTGGAGGAGATCCCTCAGGATCGTCTCCTCCTCTTCGCTTCTTGGCTTGGAAGCGAAATGTCTTCAAATTTGGAAATCAAGTCCAGTGGATTGTTTTTAATTTTTTTGGAATTTGGATAAAAGTTTGACCAAAAGTCAGATGCCAGAAGTTAGATAACTACTACATTGATGGGGTTAAAGAGGAAGTGATCTTACCTGTAAAGAAAATGGCTTCTTTTGGCAAAGATGCTGTGGTGAGATACCCAGAGGCTGAGAGCAGGGCCGAAGACCAGAGCAGCTGAGAGCAGCAGGTGGAAATGCTGCCTGAACAGCTTGTTACCAAGTACCTGGGCTGCCAGGTCTGTCAGAACAACCAACGCTGTGTTGAGAATCATCTGAAAGTAACACAAACACTGAGTCCAAATCTAAGCCTATCTCACAGAGCCAGTCTTTGAATGCAAGTCTTAAGATTAGTAAACTAAATCAGTTTAATGCTAAAAAATGTTAACACTTTGAAAATCAGTTTAATGTGATAAAAATATCACTCACTCTGAATCACCTTTGTTGCAAATAGAAGGAAGTCAGTTTCTTATATATTCCTGTCTGCACAGTTCATGCTGTCAAGCCATGACCAGAAAAACACGGAAAGCATTCCAGTTTGTCCAGATGAGGATTTCTTAAAAAGTTTGAGATCAGATTCTTTGCTGCGTCGATGGCAAATTCGGCAGAAATCCAACTCTGCTGGTTGTATTTAAAACACAAATAACACAGCTGAAGTCTCTGTCTGTTGGCTGTAAACCTGCATCCATGTGCTTGGTGATCGCTGCACAACATGAATGAAGTGACAACTGTCTTGAGCATTCCTTTGACTCCAAATATGTGCATGGCGTAAAATGCGGCCCCGGTAGCCTTAGATCAGGCAGTCTTTAGTGCTGACTCAGATGTAATTTAGCCTGCTGTTGATCTGAGGTGGTCTTAGCTGCAGCTCACTGTGTGAGAATGTTTTATCCTCTGTAGATGGACCATCATTTAGTTTGCTTCTGCAGAAATGTAATGTTTTGCAGCTCTGCTATAAGAAGGCATCAGAATGCTTTTCTATTTCCATCGTAACTGTACCCCTCCTGCTATTCTGACACTGACACTCTGGACGTTCTCCGGACATTAACTATTGTCCCATATTTTATGTGTGACACATAACTCTAAGGTGTTGCATACCTCCTGCAGAAGCAAAGTTATGAAAATGAGTTTTCTTGCAATATTTAGACAGGGTAGTTTCTGACATCCAATTTCTTTTTTTTTTATTCAAAGCAAAAATAATGCTGGTAAGGCTATGAAACAAATGTCAATTACAAAGTGCAAAGTGTAGCTATTAGTCAATGTTTATGTGTATTAATAGAAGCAACCTTTGCACTGCAGGCAGTCAAAGATTCAGCTGTTGCAGCAGTCTGGTTCTGTCACTCACCCACAGCATTTACTCAGTTATTGTCTTTTCTGTCCTGGAAAACTTTGTCTCACACCTCTTTGTTTTTACTTGCAAAACCAATCAGATAAAGCCATGGCATTGTTGATTTTGTCACCTTAAATTTGAAAAACAGTGCCTAAAATCATACATGTCACTTGTGGATAGAAACTACATGGTTACATTTACTATATATTTTTTTTCTTAGAAAACAAAGGTTATTTTACTGCAATGTGCCTTTTATTTTTACCCTAGTGATATTATTTTGAAGTATCACTACATTTAAGTGCAATTTCTGCCTTCTAAATGTGAGCAACTTCACCGAAAGCTCAACAGGTTGATTCTTTTAATGGTAAAGATACTTAATTATATTAACTTTTTTTTTTATCAGGTTAATGTTTTTTTCAACAGTAAAACAAACAAACAAAAAAAAGCAAAAATATTTCACCTTACCCCATAAAGGGGATAAAAGTAAAAAGTTAAAAATAATAAAATTCCCTACCAAAAGGTGCACAACATTATTAATTTTTCTTATTTGTATTTCCTCAATGAGAACTTTACTGCCATAACTTTCTCTTCTTTCACTTTAACATCATGTTCAATGCAATTTATCTAATATAAACAAATTTAAATCTGCTAAGATAAGGATGTCTTTGTGAACAGACAGGCTAGGCAGGAAGAGCATTGATATAAGAAGCAGCCAAAATAGCTGCAGGAATCGGCAGACTGGTCAACCCGTAGCCGTCGACTTCAACACTATGGTGTTCATGGAAGGGTGGCATGAATAAAGGGAGTGGTGTAGAGAATGCAAAAAAAACATGGAATAAGCAGCTCTGAGACCAAGGTTGGCCTAAATGCCATTTGTCACAGAAAAACACTTTGTGTGAACACAGCACACCTACATCAAAAAATGTTGCGGCTGTAGAATGCTGCTCCTTGTCAAGGAAAAGGAAGCATGTCAGAGTTACTCGGAAGATGGATGGATTGAGCCAAGTGGAGGATTATCCACAGAGAAAAGCTGTCGAAAGCTGCAAAACTTTGAGCTGGTCAGAGGTTTGCTGTACAGCAGAGAGACTACCCTAAAGCTGCAGCCATATTAGGGTGTTATGACGAAGTCAAAGTTGCAATAATGAGACTCCAAGGCAAGACTAAAAATTGTATAGCTAAAGAGAGTAGCAACTATATTCATAGCTGCATCAGTCGTTGCCTTAATTAGCAGTCTTGGCCATTGCTTTCTGGGGCTATGTTTTATGATATCCTGTATTTGAATATGACTTACAACGGATACCTCTGCATGACACTGAGCAAAGTAAAATATCATCACTTAAGAGCTTCTCCCCATAATTACAAGTGTCTCACATTATGTAAACTGCAGTCCTAAAATGTTTAACTCATGTGAACCATGCTTGCTAGCACCTTCTATTTTGTAGCTGCCAGGACAGAAATAGAGGTGGATCTGGTTTCTGGGTGTTGAAAGTCTACCTTCTCTGGTTACCATGCTGAGGAAGTTAGCGCTCAATTTATAGAAGCTTCATTTTAGGTTCAAACAGTATTGGATCAGCTTTGTCAGCTGCATCTTTAGGCACCCAATGACTATTATAAGATTATCTATTAAAGAAGATAAAACTTTATTAATTTACCTATATGTAAACACAGGTGACACTGTTCCAATAAACAATTTCACTCACTTTTTCAATTCTCAATTTATCAAGCTTACGATACACTGAGATTATGTTTAGCATCAAGCAGAATTTTAAAAGTTGTACAGTCTCTGTTTTCCCTAAAGTGTTTCTTTTACATTATGCAGTTAATAAAAGAACACCTGTGCAAAAAAAAATATGGATAATAAAAAGGACAATTATTGTAGTTAATTTATTAATTTATTTCCATTCCATTTTATTTCCCACATATATTTTTTGTTTAAGACTTAGATGTTTCAGATAATTTATGTTTTATTTCAGATTATAAAAGTTCAAGTAAGTTACACCTTTCCAAACCTTGACAAGTAAAAATGTAATCACTTTTCTTGTAAAGTGATATTACAATACAATAGAAATATTCTTGATTTTCTCCACAGTGGAGAAATGCATATATCCCAGCATCAAGTGTGTAACTTTTATAATATGCCAATTTAAACCATTTTCGGTTATATGTATATATATAAAAAAAAAAAAACAGCTTAACACGTATGCAACTGAGCGGTGTGACCTAAAGAAATGTGCAAACATGTTGTTCATTCATGCATAAATGCATTAACACACTACTTGATAAAGTCTATTCAAAAAAAGCAGAGAGGTTGAGACTCATTACGTTTGTTTGGAGTAGGGATGGTGATAAAATTTAATAACTGCAGGGAGGAGGGATTTTGTGCATTTATGATGAAATCGTTTGTCTCCTGGCTTGTAGCAGTTTCACTCATGTGTTGGGGGAACTCTCCAACCGTGATGTTATTTTGTTATAGACAAATAATGTCAAAATTTGACAAATTTGTCTCCCACTAACTGTACTGGGTTAAGGGGGCATCCAAGGACAGACTTTTCCTTCCTAATGAGCTCCTCGAACCGTTTCATCTCACCTGTAGATAGACCCCTGATCCAAGACACTTAGCTATAGAAGATGGCCAATGCCACCTCAGATCCTAAAAGGTCTATATCAGTGTTCTTCAAGTCCTGTTACTAGGTTAGCTGTTCTACTATTTTTATATGGGCCTCTGGTTAAAGTAATGCATATAATATTCAGACCATTAGTAGGACCCTACTAATTGGAAAACAAACTGAGGTGGTCATTTAGCCATTTGATTCAGAACAGAGACCCATCTGAAAAGGTGCAGGACACTGGACCCCCGAGGATCTTAATTTGGTTAAGATTTTTTAAGCCACATCCAGACCCAACTAAAGCCAGAACTGTAGAAGAAAGAAAATAACACAATAGGTATGGACAACCTTTTTTATAGTAATCCAAAGTGACAAACCCCAAAGTGGCTTACATAGTTAAGTCCACGAAAGGTTACAAAGCTTCAGGACTCAAGTGAACTTCAGACAGACTTGTTTTCCACAGTTGGAGAAAGCACGCACAGCAGGTGAATCTTCTTAGGAGTGGTGAACATAATTACTCCAAGTGTTCATAAACCCTTCAAGGAGATCACAAAAAGCTTGGAAACAAATCCTCTGGAAATCAGTTGCACAGGATGCAGACGTTCTGTCCAGCAGCCAGAAGTTCAACTGTTTGAACCTCAGCTCTGTTTCAGTTGGGTCGCAGGGCGAGAAACTTAAGTATAACCTGCTGATGGTCGTCAAAGTGGTTGTCCCCATCTACAGAGCCCCGCTTCTCACAATGAGCCCCTGGGCAGCTGTGGCTATAATGTAGCTTGCCACCATCACTGAGGGCATTAGTACAGACCAGTACTAACAACTGAAGTACTGTAGACCTCACTGGCCAAAAATATGGTCCTAAGCCAAACCACTGCAGATTAAACCCCCTTTTCGCCAAAAAAAAAAAAAAAGAAATGTTTCTGTAATAGAACCATGATTTATTCTCTTTAGCAGAAAATCCTTAACATCCATCAGTTTGAGACTTTAAGCTCAGGTAAACCTGGGTTTTTTCCACCTCTGTTATATGGTAAACAAGTAGGCAGTGGCCTTATGAAACCTGACCCTAAATATGATTGATATGTGATCTTTAGATGAACAACACCCCAAAACAAAAAAAAAAAGCACTATAAGGAAATTAATTTGAACTATAGAGAAGTGTGTCACAAACACAAAAACAGAGTGTTACTGCTGGCAAGGGTGGCAAAACCAGTTGATATGTTCGAGAGGAGAGTTTCTCTTTCCACGTTCGTTTACAAAATGCATTCCCCATAACATATGAAAACTACTTATTGAGTTTGGCATTTAAATTACTTAGAAACATTTTACAGAGACACATGATATAGATGAAATCTTTCAGGGGGTAAATATATTTACCACAACTCTCAGAAAATTAGGCAATTTTCTAAAGGGGACTTGAATTTTTTGTTGAAGACATTTTTGTGTGTTATGTACTTTTGCTTGAGGTGACCATTTTGTTGCCAATCAGATGGTTCTAATACTGACCAAGTCCTTATCGTTCTCTGCACTGCTGCTGACATCTGCTGGCATATTAGTAACGAAACAGATAAATCAAAACAAGCTTAACCCTTACAGTCCAGATGAATTCCATCTCAAGGGACAACAAAAGGTGGTAAATTCAATCTAATAGCACCTATTAGTTTAGAATAAATTGATAGTTTACAACTAGCTAAAGTATGAAAATGCACTATCAAAAGACATTCCATTCAAATAAAACACAATGGAAAATGGTTTACTGTTTAATTGTGTTAGAGGTGTTAGAACTACAAAGACACCATATAGTGTCCCATAATTCATTAAGAAAAACAATTCATAAAGAAGTCAGGACACCTATTTATCGAGAGTGAAAATGGTGGATTAAACTGTGTTCCATCCATCCATCTATATCTATCTCTATCTAGATCTCTATCTCTGTTAGG